TGTGTGTGTGTGTGTGTGTGTGTGTGTGTGTGTGTGTGTGTGTGTGTATCATTCTTATTCAAACCACCACAGGCTCTTTTTGCTGACTGGGACACACTGCGGCCAGACATCTGCTGCTCCTGCAGCCGTGCCTTCCCTGTCTGGGATGGATTGTGGCCTCTCAGTCTATGAGCCAAGTCAACCCGCCTTCCCTTAAGACGCTTCTTGTTAGGAACTTGGTCGAAACAATGAGGGAAGTTAACTAACACACAGTTAGGAATGAATGGTTTAGTGGGTTGTCTCCAACATGGGTTTGCTCTCTGTGAAGAACAGAACTTATAGAATGAGTGTGTGTGTGAGAGAGAGAGAGAGAGAGAGAGAGAGAGAGATGAAGGCTGGAGGGATGGCTCAGTGTAAGTTAAGAGCACTGGCTGCTCTTGCAGAGGACCTGGGTTTGGTTCCCAGTATCCCCATGGCAGCTCACAACTGCCTGCAACTCGAGTTCCAGGCAATCTGATGCCCCATTATGGCCTCCACAGTCATTGCACACTCGGTGCACAAACATACATGTAGGCATCCATGTATACACATATGATAAAAATTTTTAATTATGAGGTACTGAGAAGAACCAGTTAGATTAGTTTACATGCATGGCCCAGGCAACCTGACAATGGCTGGCTCACACCAGAGAGGCTGAGAATCTGGCAGCTGCTCAGTCCATGTGATGCTGGATGTCTCAGCAGTCCTAATTTCACCCTAAAGGCCTGGAGGATTCTTGGAGAGCTTCTAGTTTGTGTCAAAAGCCCGAGGAAGCTTACTCTAATCTCAGCAAAGGAATGTAGCAGTAGCAACAACAGGGTAGATGAACTTGCTAGCAAAAGTGAAGACAAGCAGGTTAAAAGCCAAGACTTCCTTCTGCCACCAAAAGCTGCCACCGACATTTAGGGTGAGGTTTTCCACTTTGAATAATCTGACCAAGAAAGCTCCTTAGGGGAGCATTGATTCTATTCAGTTTGGCAACCAAGATTAGCCCTCGTTCTCTCAAAGCCACTGTTCTTAGGTATGTTGAGAAGTCCCTAATGGTCACTGTGGGATACCCTTCACCAGTCCAGAAATTCTGTGGAGGAAGGATGCCACCAATTGCAGTTCCTCAGCCTTACACCAGAATCAGGCGCCCGAATAAAATAGTCTTCAAAATGTGCTCAGCCTAGCTGGGCATGGTGGCACACGCCTCTCCTCCCAGCACTTGAGAGACAGAGGCAGGCAGATCTCTGTGAGTGTGAAGCCAGCCTGGTTTACAGAGTGAGTTCTAGGACAGCCAGGGCTACATAGAAAGACCTTGTCTGACAAAAAAAAAAAAAAAAAAAAAAAAAAAAAATCAGACCAAAAACAAAGCACTCAGCCTGTGGTATAAGGTTATCAGCAGCAGAAAGCAGAGTCATAAAAGGTACTCCACTTAACTGTATCCAAATAAAAGGTGGGGCGTTGATGGCTGCGATCTTCAGGATATGTCCCCGTGGGCAATCAGCTGGTCCTTCCCTGCAGGGCTTGGGATGTCATGGCTGGGTGTGAGCCACTTGCCGCTGTTCAGGTGGGAGCCTGGAGCCAGAGACGCTGTGAGATCTGGAGTCCCTGAGACCGGAGAACGGCTGCTCACCCCAGCCTTGCCCGAAACTCGAGCCTTGCTTTACCTTAGAGCCCTACTTAAGTTATTGGGGTGGAATTTTCTGTTACCGACAGCTCAACAGCCCAAGCCCATGGGGCACACAGGGGGAACCTCTTTGACCTCTGGGTGGAGTGAGAGCAAGGGACTCAGGAATCAGAGGCTGGCCAAGGGGAGCATCTTTCTCTGTGAAAGAGGAGCCTGCAAGCCCCTCCTCTTCCCGGGATGCAGCCCTGGCTGTTCATGCCACTCCCCTCAGGACTTTGAGAAGTTCTCCAAGAGGCGCAGCCATGCTCACAGTCTCTCCTAGAGTGGTCCAGACTAGCCCAGGCATCCTCAAGAGAGTTAGTTGTACCTCTCTGCTTGCCTGTCCCGCTCACTGGTCAGATGGGAGTTTGGAGCTCCTCCCCCCAACCTGAACTGGATGGAAACATGGGGAGAAACTCCCCGCTGAGAGTCTCCACAAAGTAGGAAGACAGACCGAAGTGCAGAGGGCTGTCAGTCGGGGGCACATGATCACATCCACACAGTGGCTGTGGTAATTAGCAGGCCCACAGGCTGCAAGGGGGGCCAGGGACATTTGGAAAGTTCTAGAAAGACAGACCTCCAGCCTCAAGTCCCCCAGCCTGCAATTTCTAAAGTTTTCAGATAGAAGGGAACCTGAGGACCCTCCTTGGATCTGCTGTCCCAATCCCTACAACCTTGACTCCCAGGCCGGCCAAGAAGACTGGGCTTGGCCTAAGGATGGGACAGGGGGAAGTAGGGTAGCCCCGGCTAGGTAGATATTTCTTCCCTGGTCACTGGCAGCAAGTGAGATACACACTTTCCAGAAGTCTGATAAACACTGTGACCTTGTACCAATCCTACACCTTCCCGGGCCTCAGTTTCCTTTCGGAAGCACTGACTCTGTGGGGGCGTGGCTTTTCTTAGCCGAGGGGGAGCCTGGAGAAGATGGGGTGCGGGGGTGGGAGGCGGGCCCCACTGGTCGCAGCGCGCTGGCCAGGCGCACACACCGCGGGGCGCTCGGAGCTGGTGGCTCCCGTCCTGCGGGTCCTCAACCTGAGCGGGCGCCCGCGGGGAGCGCGGAGAGGAGCACCTGTGCGACCCCAGCCTCCCGACACGACACCCGGGCGGAAGACGACGGGGACCCCGCCCGATCCCTCCCGCGAGCGGGCGGGGCGGCCCCACGCCGGCTCCTCCCCCGCAGCCCCGGCTCGGCTCAGTCGCGGCGCGCGGTTCCGCAGGTGGCAGCTATGACCCAGTCCTGAGCGCCCCGCCATGGCCGGCACCCCCAGCCTGCTGCGCCTGGCGCTCCTGCTGCTCGGGGCGGTGAGCAGGGCCGGCCCTCGCCCCCAGGTGAGCCCCGGGGCACCCGGCAGCGGAGGGGAGGGGGGCGCTGCGGTGTTCTGCGGGCGGACGCAGGAGCTGGCGGAGGGGCCCTCGGACTTGAGTGAAACTCCAGGACCCCTGGCGGGGGAAGTGCAAGGCTCAGGGGGGAAACGGACTGCCGAGCTGGGGAGCCCAGGTGGGGACTGGACACCGGGTGATTACCTTCATCTAGACCCCGCTTCTCCGCCAAGGCTCCTCTGCCAGGGCAGCAGCTGCCCCGCCGTTGCCCTGCGCTGACTTCTGCGACTCATCTTTGTCCTTCGCCGCCACTTTCCCAACTCCTTTTTCCAATCCCGCTGGCTCTCTGCCTTCCCCCTGTACCCAGGACCCCTGAGGTGCCTCCCCTACAGTCAGCTCCTGTGTTCTCTTCCGTGTGTGCTACCCAGGAATCTCAGGAGGGCCGAAAGGGCCTGATTGCTGAAACCCGGCTCCTTCCACCCCAGCCTTGGCCCCTCGTGACTGTCTTTGACTCATAGCCCCAGGGACCCTGCCGGTGGCGGCTTGTTGTCCTTCCTGGTGACCTCCCAGGTGGCACTGGCTTGCCACCCCCGCCCCAGCCTCTGCGGCAGGCATGCAGCAGGTTCCCTGCTCCTCCTGAATCAGCCAGGCCCTCTCACACACTCTGCTGACACCCATTCCGGTCCCCCTTTGGTTACTAACCCACCAGGAAGCGTACTGGGACACTCGGGAGCACCCTACCTCCGTGGGGTCACCAAAGAATAGGTTGCGTGAGGACTCTCGTGTGGACCTTTCTCTGGCGCTTTCTGTCCTGCCTGTGTGTCTTGCCCCAGGCTCCTGCCCTGGGCATGGTGGTCAGCTGCTTGTGGGGAGGGTGGTTGTTCAAAAGTGCCAGGACACCCTTGAGTAGAAGAGACCCAGGCCTGGGCACTGTCCTATAAAAGGGACACTTGACCATCATCTGGTGTCCAGACAGACCTAAAGGACCGAAACCTTTGGGGGAGTGGGCCTGAATGGCCTTGAACTTGGCCTGAAAGAGGAGGGGAGGAGGCAGACCTGACCCCTGGCTGAGAACCCAGTTGTGGGCAGAGGTGCCTCCCAGCGAAGGTGCCAGCACCCTTTGAGCTCCCAAATCCTTTTCCAGGTTAATCCTCTCCCTGTTCCCCAGGGCCAGCTGACCCCAAAGGACACCTTCCCTGGTCCCTGGCACCGTCCTCACTGTTCCGCCGCAGGCCATGGCTTTCCTGGTGACATTGGGATCTTTCCAGAGCCACAACCGCAGATCCACTGCTGACTTCCCTCCTGTGAGCCAGGAAGGTGGGGGTGTGAGCCTCCCGGCCCAAAGCTGCTGCAGGCCACGTTTGCAGAGCAGGTTGGGATTGAGGCAATAGAGCCAAGCTTGAGGGCTGTCTGTTTGCTCCCCCGCCAAATCCCCTTCCCCAATGGCAAGCTCCTTGAAGTAACAGCACCGGAGCATCAGAAAGTGCAGTATGCTAGAGCTCTTGATGGGGTGCCCTTGTTATGGGGGTACTGACATCTCCAGCAGCCCCAGAGGCGCACGCGACAGTCCGCTTTGGGGTTAGACTGCAATAATTTACAGACACAACCTCATGACCACTCAAGAGGCTGGAGAAGAAGCCTTGTGTTTTACTTTCTGTCTGTGAGGTCAGCGAGGTTAGAATGGCCCCCTCCGTGTCACTCAGGGTGTGGCGAGGGCTCAGTATCAGGGCTCCCTAGGCAATGTGGTCCAGCAGCTTAGGAACAGGGAAGCAAAGAGTGCAGGACCCCAGCTCTCCGCCTCACACCTTCTCCTGAGGGGCATGAAGGCTGAGGGAGCAGCTCTAGCTGGGCCAGAAGTTTCTTCCTTGCAAGATAGTGGGATGGCTGAATTGACTTCCCAGGCTACTCCAGGGTGGGAAGGACACTCCTCTTCCCTGTTCTTGTTACAAACAGACCCTCCACGAGGGAACCAGGCTCCTGAGAGATAGACGGGCCTTTGATGCTTGACGTTCCAACCAGACAGAACTGGGTTTGAGGTCAGGTCTGATCTCATCTGGAACTCTTCAGTGGGACCCTCAATGATCCTGAACCCCGGTCTCCCCATCCGTAAAGCAGGGATCACAGAGCCTGACATGGAGGGATGGAGGGACGCCAAGGAGACCAAGACTTGGTTTCTGAAATGGCAGCTCACGGCCTCCAGGAGAACTGTCCTTTGGAACCTGCTGTGTTCCCCAGGCTGCAGACTAGAGCCTGGAGCGGGACTGTTGGAAGCTCCTGGCCTCCGTGCTCCAGCGAGGGGCAGTGGAGGCTGAGGCCTCGGCTTGGGCTGGGAGGACTTTGTCCCTAGCTGGGCTCCCTTCCAGCAGGGACCCAGCGTGGGGCTGTCCAGGAGCAGCCAAGAAACCACATCCTGTCCTCCAGGGCCTGGTGCTGAGGAAAAACAGGTCCTTCACTGACTGCACCTGTCCTTTGGCAAATTCATCTGTGTGTGTGTGTGTGAGAGAGAGAGAGACAGAGACAGAGATGCATATGAGACAGAGATAAATTGGGAGATAGATGTACAAGGTGTGTGAGCACCTATGTCTCTGCGTGTTTGTTGGGGACCCTTTGTGTCACCATGTGGGCAGCAACTTATTAGCATGGAATGATGCATCCGACTGTGTGTGTGTGTGTGTGTGGTGTTTGTATCCTATCTGCTATTCTGTGCTGTAAAGGGTATGAGATTGTATTTAACACCCGGGTGAGTGAAAGGTATCAGCTCGTTTGTGTCCATACAGGGGAGAGGCACTGTGTTGTGACAGCGTTTATGTGTGATTGTGTGGCTCAGTTGTGCGTGCGCGTGCGTGCGTGTGCGTGTGTGTGTGTGTGCGTGCGTGTGTTGCTCAGTGTTTCAGCATATGCCTGTTCGCCCGGCAGTCTGTGTGCGACGGCGAGCAGACTCTATGTCAGTGTCTCCTTGCTGGAGACAGCCTCGACAGTGAGAGGGATGCTGCATGTGACGGGGTGTTTGTGAGAGAAGGTGGCTGCACCTTGCCTCGCCCTGTCTGTTGTCTGGTCAGCCATCTCAGGAATGACCTTAGGAAGACAAAACGTGGACGCAAACAAACAGGGCTCAGCAAAGGGCCGCGTGATGCAGGCTCCGGGAAGGGACCGGAAGGAAAGCATGGTGCCCAGAAGGAAGTGGCAGGGACTCTTCAGGGCTGTACCCAGTCGGGGGCTCTAGAAATTGTCTTCGGAGCCCTGTTTGCTCCTTCTGAGGGGGCCCACCCCCCTCCTTCCTCTCCTCAGATGAGTACATGCGAAGCCAGTGGAGGAAGCCCTGTGCCACCGTGCAGGTTGTGGGCAGAGCAGACGGGGCACGAGTCCACAGGCTGTGACCGCCCTGGTGTTCTGTTCTCCGTCGTCCCTTGCTACTTCTCCTGAGGATGTCCCCTCTTCACTGTGCTCTCCACCTGGGCATTGTCCTCACTTGCCTTGATCCTCCTTTCTTTCCCCCCCCCCGAAGCCCCCTGCTGCCGCTGGTCCCAGGAAATGCCAGCCTGTCCTTCTGGCCCTTGAGGTTCCTGACCTGCCGTTCTAACCATGGCCGGTGCCTTGGACAGCCATGTTAATTTCTCCCTCCTGGGAGCTTATTGAATTTAGAAGGAAGACCCCTAGATCTAGGAAGCCAGGCTCGGGGTTCCGGTCAGTCTCCCAAATAGAGGAGACCCGCCAAGACAAGGCTCTGACAGCCCCTTCCACGTGCGGGGACCCACGGTCCTCCAGGCATGGACCCTTGTCCTTGCCCTTTGCCACGCAAGCCGGCTGAGGGTAGAAGCTAAGGCTTGCGCAAGATCACAAACCTAATTTAGGGGAGGGCTGCAGGGCCGAGGGCAGATCTAACCCTCCCTCACCCCCAAACGAGGGCCCCTCGCCGTTTTGTCACCCGGACTCCGGGACCTGTGGCACTAAGTGGCCCCAACTTCAACAAGGCTTGTCCCAGGTCAGAGCCCCCTCTCTCTCCCGTCATTTCCTTCGCCCCAGAAATTGCCCTGGATGTCTCTGCGGCTGGGCTTGTGTGTATGTATGTAATGTGTTCATGTGGGGCGGTGCATGCATTGAGGGCATGTATACATTCGGGGTGTGTGTGTGTGTGTGTGTGTGTGTGTGTGTGTGTATGTGGAGGACAGGGATAGAACCACACATCTGAGGTGGGTTCTGTCTCTGGGACCTGGGCCTGACCATCAGGCTAACCACTGAGCCTCAGGGAGCCTCCCGCCCCCACCTTCCCAGCTCGAGGATTGAAAGCGTGTGCCACCGGCTCTTTGCCTGGGTTCCAGCTGTGGGATTTCGGCTTTCTCGGGTTTGCAGGGGCGCACTTTACAGACTGAGCCACCCCCCAGCCGGGTCACCTCTACACTTTTGTCCCTACCGTGCCTTCCTGTCGAAAGGCCCGTCTTCCTTGCTAGGCCAGCCTCCATTTTTTCTTGCCTGTACCTCTCAGATGACCCCAGATGACCCCTTCAGGTCGACACTGAGACCTGCCCCCTCACCCCCACCCCCCACTTCCTGAGCTCTCACACCCACTGCCTTCTTACTTCATTTGTCGTGCAAAGCATTCCTCCCCAACCTCATACAGCCTGAAGACCCTCAGGACAACCTGTCTCTCCCCAGCACTCCCTGGCTTTGGCGGGAGATGAGGCCCTGTCCCAACAGAACCCCAGACTGAAGTGAAGGTTCAGGTCTTTGCTCTGCTCTGTCACTGTCAGAGCCAAAGTCTCTTTGACACTCCCGTGGTGCCTGGCCATCAAGGCTGTCTCCAGCGGTGCCTGGCCATCAGGGCTGTCTCCAGCCGCTGGCTCCTCCTCTCCACTGGGAGCTGCTGGTTCCTTGGGCCGAAGCCTCCTCACTCCCTGGCTAAACACACCGCTGCCCCATTCCCAGCAGTGACCTTGCTTTCTGCCACTGGCCCTATAAGGATGGGTATTGTGGGGATTCCTTCCCTGGTCACTGCTGCCTGCCCTCACCTGTCCCACTTCAGGGCACTGAGAAGAGAAATAGAAAAGGAGGGAAATAGAAAAGGAAGTGAGGGATGCACCAATCCGCCATGGTTTAGTCCGATGGGTCTGCCAGCCCTCGGCAATGGCTCGGAGCACAATTCTCATCGGCTGCTGGTACATTTGGTTTCCTTTTCTTTATTCTCCAAGCAAGTACTGCCGACCTTTGCTCTCGGAAGAAGCTGTCCTTTGGGGCAGCCTCACCAGCACACTCACTCCAGAGATGTTGGTGGCATTCAGAGCAAGCTGGACACCACCCCCACCTTGCTTCTGGAACTTTCCGTGTCACTAGGAGCAAGCTCATGTCACCGTGTGTCGTTCTGTGGTGATGTCATATGAACTAGGACTCTGCTCAGACCAGGGCAGGCTCACCCAGAAATTATATCTGTTGTGTGTAAGTCAGGGGGTAGGGGGGACAGGAGGTAGGGAGGGAGGGCCAACTGGGACTGTCCCAGGCACCTGAAAAGCACCTGTTTCATTTCATCACCTGTTTAACTTGGGGTTTCAAGACGTGAACTAGGCTGAAGAGATTGGGGTCACTGGGGTGTTTGCTGCCAAGTCTAATCCTCAGCACCTCACGTGGTTGGAAGGAGAGCACCAACTCCCACAGGCTGCCCTCTGACCTCTACACACCCTCTGCATACCATGGGTGATGTGCTCTCTCTTGCGCGCACACGTATGCACACGTAAGCACACGTGCTCGTGTTACACACTCGTGTGTGAATTTAATTATGTATAACTCCCTACCGGGGGAGGCCCTCTGATCGTTTTGACATCTATCACTTCTAAGTGGGTAATGTTATCTTTTTTAATCTTTAAGGATGTCTGTGAAACAAATTAAAAAGCATGACATCCCAAGGCTAGCCATAGGGCGCACCCAGAAATCAGTAGAGGGGGGTGTGGAGGGGGCCTGTCAGAGCCACACACTCAAAAGCCGGCGTTGATAAACTTATTGAGGCGCCCATGACCCCGTCACAGGTAGGAGGTCACCCCCAAGGGCAGGCAACAACTTCAGTGTTCTGGAAACATCCTGTCGTCACCCTGCGCTTCGCATCCCTTACCCTGCCGGGATACAGGAGCAGGCTGCATGTCAGGTCTGTGTTGTGCTAGAGAAGACGCTGTGTGTGGGAGTGTGGCCTTCCTAGGGCAGCGACTGAGTCCAGCAGGAGGGGTGGACGATGGTTGTGGCTGTTTTTTCAAGCCCTTGGGAAGCCACATCCTGCCTCTTGGGAAGCTGCAGGTTAGCCACTGAGCTTGGTGACGCTGTGTCCTGGCCTCGGCTCTGCTTCCCAGGATGCCCTGTGCCTTTGATGGAGTCCTCTCTTGACTCTCCTAGAAGGGTTGGAAGCAAGGCGTTTCCAGGCAGGCTGCAGGCTGCGTCACTCAGGAAGTCTTTCCTTTGCTGAGAGTCAGTGAAGGGCAGATGGGACCCCAGATGAGTCACAAAATTTCCCCCCCGCACTCTCCTTCACCCCACCTCCCTAAGCGTTAATCTCTAGCTGGATACTTGTTGCTCTTCAGCCTTGCACACTCCCTGCCTGGGTCCCCGAAGGAAGTGGCAGTCACTCCTTCTCTTTCTTTCAGGAGTTCCTGGTGGGCTTCGGGCCGCTGGAGCTTAAGAATGCAAGAGGACGGGAGTCCAGTGGGAATGGAAGGGGCTGCTGGAGCCGCAGAGCCCTCATTTCTGCTTTCCCTCTTAGGGTGCCACGGTGTCCCTGTCAGAGACGGTGCAGAAATGGCGAGAGTATCGTCGCCAGTGCCAGCGTTTCCTCACTGAGACGCCGCTTATGGCCGCAGGTGGGTCTGGATGAGCCCTCATAGCTGTACTCCCGAACAGCTCCAGGGGGCTCTCATGAGCCCAGGTCCTTAGCTGGTGTGGCTTGTCTCTCTGGAATGCTAGCTGCCCGGGCCTCTGTCCTGGTGTCCATACTACGTCCTCACTGAAGAGCCTTCCTGGCGGCTTAACCTGTTTCCTTGCAAGCAGCTTTGTAGGTACTGTTTGATCGATGTCTTTAACCCCATGTCAGGGACCCCACTTTCCGTTCTGTCTCCTCCTCGGCCCCTCCTGAATTGTGTGTATAGACACACAATTAAGACTGAGTGCTCAACATACACACTTACACAAATCAATCTTTATTTTTTTGAGTAAGAGCTCATGCGGCCCAGGCTAGCTTCCATCTCACTATGTAGGCATGAATGATTTTGAACTTTGGATCGCCCTGCCTCTGTCTCCCAAGCACTGGCGCCTAGCTACCACCACACCTGTTTTATGCAGAGCTGGGGGCTGAACCCAGGGCTTTAGGCATGCTAGACAAGCATTCTACCAAGCCAACAGGAGTAAATTAGTGTGTGTGTGTGTGTGTGTGTGTGTGTGTGTGTGTGTGTGTGTGTG